ATTGAACACAGCAGCATCTGTACTGCGTGACTGCTTACACACTGAGGCTTACACAAGGATTGTACTGAGCGGCTGCAGTCATGGAGACACATGTGGAAACCACTCAGTACAATCCGTATGCAGGCAGTCATGCGACTGGAGACGCTGCTGCGTTCAGACGCACATATAAAAAACCTTAGCTTAACATCAAATATAGTTTAAAACAATCATAAATTATTTACAATTTATTATGGTCCATAAAATTATGATAACAGTTAACTGATGTGAGTAAAGGAAATACTAATAAGCGTATTAGTGATGATATTTTAAAAAGAATTCTTTACAAAGCATTACAAATGTTGCAAGGAGCACATTCAGTAAAAAAATGAGAAAACATTTTAAGAGGGTAATAAACTGCAGATGTAACATTTATATACTCATGTACCCGAATCTTCCAATGTTTGTTATGTTAAAATGGAGTAAATTGTTACTACATCATTGTCCTTTTGCCAAAAATGAGGCCCAAAACGTGTGCCACCTGGGGCAGACACCTACCCCACCCTGCCAGCTACGCGACTGTACCCTGAGCACCTGGGCCTTCAGAATGGGGCTTGTTAGGAGTTCACTGTCTCTCTATCCTGGGAAGCAAGTCTGCCTCCTTTCCCTGCTTGGTTTGGGGGAGGAGGTTTGTCCCATGTGCTAGTGATGAAAAGACTCTGATTTGTATTTGGTAGGATCCTTAGATGGTTTTGTGGGAAGAGAGTTTGCTTCATCAACCTCTCAGTGGTAGTGCTCTTTGCCTCTGGACTGGAGATGACAGTTTACCTTCTCTCCCTGTGGGGCAAAGCTTTTGCCTTTTTTAGGGGAGAAAGTCTGCGGAATTGTGCCTGCACCTCAGCAGCCACTTGTTGCCTCCTTTGTATCTGCACAAGTGTGCGCCCACGAAGGAGGGCTCCTTTTTTGGTTTTGTTTTCCTGCCTTGATTCCAGTCTTCCTCTTGAGCACCCCGTGGAGGCCTATAGAAACGTCATTGCAATGTGTTCGGACTTGCAGTTCCAAACTATCATGATAGCGCACCCTTAGTGTTTAACATCTTGTTGAAATTTTAACTGATTTCCTTTTACTACTTAGTATGATGGCCACCTCCTTCTCCTACGTTCTTGGCAAAGATGAATCAGTCAGTGGATCCCGTTTTTCCTTGGGGAGATCTCTTGCTTTTTGGATTTCAGATCATTTGCCTTTAGAGCCTCAACTCTCTGACGGGCTCAAGAAAGTTGTGATTTTATGGAGTATTCATCCTTTTGTTAGTGCTAGTATGAGAGTGACATTATTTAGTTTTCTAAATGTTGAGTTGAACTAATTTTAGTTTTTAAACATTTAAAATTTTTCTTACACAGGAAATAGAAATGAAAAATTGTATTACTACCAATTAGTGCCAATAATATGCTTTTTTGAACATGTATTTTCTTACAGTTTTATTTTTAAAGTGAAAATAGGCTTCACTTTTTTTTGCATAGCACCATTTGCTAGGCTGTTAATATTTCACAGTGGTTTTTTAAATACTCAGATTATATTGAGACTGTTGTAGATGGAAACAGTGAGAGCACTCATCTAGTATTCCCCTGCTACCTGCATTCTTCAGATCATTCCACTTGAGAACGTGTCTCATTGATTTGACCTTAGGGTTTGGCTTCACTGTATAAGTCAGATGACCTTCCGGTATTTCTGAGGCTAAGCTGTTGAAAAATGATACTGTAAATATTTTAGAGCATATGATCAAAAATATATTGCAAATGGTAGATAGAAACTGTAGAGTTCCTATCCAAAGAAATATCTCCATAAATTTATTAATTGGTTTTTAGCATGTATATCAGAAGGCAGAACAAATTGCAACATGTTTATGATGTAATGTACCATGTAAAATATTATTCTGTAAGCATATATTTAAATTTTATTCTTCCTATGCTTCTTTTTTATAAAATTATGTCCATAGGTTGTGGTAAATTTCTTTTTTGGAGTTCGTTAGGGAAACCAATTTTTTCTTGTTTGTTTCCCTCAGAAAACTGCACCAGCAGTTTGAAATGTACAAGGAGCAGGTGAAGAAGATGGGAGAAGAATCACAGCAACAGCAAGAACAGAAAGGTGATGCCCCGACCTGCGGGATCTGCCACAAAACCAAGTTTGCCGATGGGTGCGGCCACAACTGTTCGTATTGCCAAACCAAGTTCTGCGCACGCTGTGGAGGCCGAGTGTCATTACGCTCAAACAAGGTATGGAAGTGGGAGCAAGGTAGTTCTCTAACAGTTAAGCTCGTTATGAATTAAGTAAAAAAGATGACTGAAATTAATATTTACACTAGCTAGAGAGCAAAACCCTGATTTGGCTTAACTTTAAGTAAAAGTGGGTTTAAGTTTTCTCTGAGTTTGAAGGGTATTTATCTCATTGTTTTGTATTAGCCTATGCTTTTGTTTAGAATCAGAAAATCTGAGACTTTCAAAGAAGATGGAAACAATTTAGAGAGCAACTGATGTCATGCCTTTATTTTATAAGTGCAGCAAATTCTGATCTAGAGACTGAATTTCATTCCTAATGCCACATCACTGATTAATGTCAATTTTTGGTATAGCTTTCTCCATTGCGACAGACATTCTCACAAGCCTTGAAAAGTTGCTTCTCCTTTGGCCTGTTTCCTTTCCTTGTGAAAAAAGCACATACTAGCTTTGAGATTCTGAGTCATGATTTTATAGCTATTGAAGCTACATTCCCGTTTAACGTTAATGAAATAACCTTAGACTGGAATTGTAAAAAGAAGTGTTAAAAGATTTTTTATACTAGACTTTTTATTTTATGAAAAAATAAGACAAAATTTTGTAATCCAACTGTAAGAGAATAACAATAGCTTTTAAAAATACTAATTTTCTATTCACTTTAGGGAAGACATTAATGTTGAAATTAACAAAACCAGTATTTGAAAATGTTCATTTCAGTGAGTTATTTAGGATTTGCCTTTAGGGCTTCATTAGTATCTCATGACCTAATTATTTACTTTGGTAGCTTTTGAATAGGAAGCTGATATGTTTGCCTGCATTACTTGGACATATTGTGGGGTCAGTTCTCCTGGTGATGCGTCTCTTTGTTTTCTCATTGTTCCCTTCTCTTAGGCTTTTGTTTGAAAAGAATTGATCACTTATTTCTCCTAATCTTCCTTTGGCTCACCTCATGTTTATTTATTTTTTTCTCCTACTTGATACACTGGCTAGAAACTCTGGTATAATTTTGAACAGAAGTGGTGAGAAGAGACATCTTTGTATCATTCTTAATTTTAGGGGGAGAGCATTCAGTATTTCACCATTAAGTATGGTGTTCATTGTAAGCTTTCATAAAATCCATCTAGTCCTGATTTGCTGAGAGATTTGTATTTGTTTGTGTGTTTATCTTAAGTAGTTGTTGGATTTTTGCCAAATGCTTTCTCTATGTCTACTGAGATTAATCTTAGGTTTTTCCTTCATTTTTAATATGTTAAAATACTTTGTTTTTGTTTTTGGTACTGGGAATTAAACCCAGGGCCTTGGGCATGCTAGGCAAATGTTCTACCACTGTACTTCCAGCTCTTTTTATTTTATTTTGAGACAGGGTCTCAATAAATTTCCTGGGCTGCCTGGAACTTGCAGTTTGTCTGCCCTCAGCCTCTTGAGTACCTGAGATTTTCATAGTTGTATCTTTTAAGGAATTTGTACAGTTTTTCATAACTTGCTGAATTTATTGGCTTAAAAGTATTTATAATATTCTACTATTATTCTTTTGATATCTGTAGAGTCCGTAGTGATGCTACCTCTGTCATTCCTTATATTGATAATTTGTGTCTCTTCTCTGTTTTTCCTGTTCAGTCTCCTAGATGTTTGTTAATTCTCAATGAATCAAGTTTTGGTTTTATTGATATTCTCTATTGTTGATTTTTGCTTTGATCATTATTATTTATTTTCTTAGGCTTTGATTTTCTACTTTCCTAAGGTCACTGTTTTGAGACTTTAATTTTCTAATACAGGTGTCACATGCTATACATTTCCCCTAAAAATTGCTTTATTTACATCCCCAAATATGACATTCCCCCATTATGTCTAATATGTTATCTTTTCATTTTCATTCAGTTAAAAATGCTTACAGATTTTCCTTTTCTTCTTTGATCCATTGATAACGTTGAAGTATGTACCTTATTTTTCAAATATTGCAAGGTTTCCAGAGATCTTTCTGTTAATGCTTTCTTTCTTATTTATTTTTTGTTAATGTTTTCTAACTGAATTCTTTTGTAGTCCCGGAGTGTACTTTGTAATTCTTGAATCCTTTTAAATTTATTGATACACATTTTGTGGCCCAGAGAATGGTTTATTTTGATAAATTTTCTTTGTGCACTTGAAAGGGAATTTATATTCTGCTCCTTTTTGGCAAGATTATTTTTAAATGTCCATTGGGCCAAATTGACTAATACTATTGTTCAAGTCTACTATGTCGTTGTTCATTTATTCTATGAATCATTAAGATAGGGGGTATTAAATATATAATGATACTTGGGTTTGTCTATTTGTCCTTGCAGTTCTATTTTTATTTTATGTATGTTAAGCTATATTTTTAGATGCATACATTAATTTAATTGGCTTCTTTATCATTATTAAGTGAACTTCTTTATTTCTGGTAATATTTTTTGGTCTGAAATCTGCTTTGTCTAACTTGAATGTAGCTTCTCCAGCTTTTTGTTAGGTGGTGTTAAATAGCATATGTTTTCTATTGTTTTACTTCAATCTTATCTGTGCCTTTAATTTAAAGCACTTTTCTCATACACAGCAAGTGACTGGGTCTTGCTTTTTTAACCAATTTGCCAATCTTTGCCTTTTAATTGTATATTTAGACAATTTATCTATTGTGTCATTATTGACATCATATGATTTAATTATGTCTTGCTTTTTATTTTATGTTTGTTTGACTTGGTCTTTATTTTTCTTTTTCAGCCTTCTTTTGGATTGCTCAAGTACTTTTTTATGATTGCCTTGTTCTCCCTTTGTTGGTTTGTTATAATCGTTTTGTTATTTTATTGTTTCAGGATTTGTAGTGTACACTTTTGAAATATCACAGTAAACCTTCAACTGATACTACACCATTTCACATATAAGAAGCTTACAATAGTGTACTTCTAATTTCTCTTCTTTAGATTCTTATTGGGGTCATATTTTACTTTTTTCCACAGCATATAGTTATATATATTTTGTTAAAAAATTTTCTTTAAAGAGTAAAGTAATACAAGTTATGTATTTTTGTTGTTACCATACTGAGGACTCTTCATTTGTAGGTCTATATTCTGTCTGGTATCATGTTTTATCTGCTTTAAGGATTTCCTTCAATTTTTCTTATAAGAAAAGCTTCCTGGTGATGAATATTTTCAGCTCTTTCTGTGCTAAAAATTTTTCCTTTATTTTTTGTTTGATATAGAATTCTAAGTTGATAGTTTTTTCTTTCAGTATTTCAGAGGTATTACTTCACTGTCTTCCATTTCACTGTGTCCATGAGAAATATGATATTTTTGGTTTTCTTTGCATGATGTGTTACGTTTTTATGGCTGCTTTAAAAATTTTATCACATTATGTCCACTTTAATTGTGATGTTTCTTGGTATATTTTTCTTTTTTTCAGTTTCTGGAGACTTTTGCATTTGTGAGTTTATAGTTTTTCACAAGGTTTGGGGAATCTGGGTCATTATTTTTTCAAGTAGTTTTCCTACTTCCTCCTTTTTTCTCCTGAATTCAAAGACTTGATTACCTGTGGATTACCCTGCTTGAAGTTGTTTTACAGCTTACTTATGTTCTTTTCACTAAATCAAGTTATCTATACATTTTTTTGTCCTTGGTTTTATTTTACTTTGTTACTGTGCTTTCACATTTACTGATCTTTTCTTCTTCAGTATCAAATCTATTTATTATTTATTTATTTATTTATTTATTTTATTTATCTCAGGATTACAGTTTTCATGACCAGAATTTCTATTTGGGGCTTTAAATAAATGTCTTTTATGCTCCTAGCTTTTTTTGCACATGTAGAATTTAAGTGTAATAATTGTTTTAATGTCCTCCTTTGCTAATACTAGCATTTCTGTCAGTTCTGGCTCTGTTCTGATGGGTTATTCTCATGATGTGTTTGCCTGACTCTGCATGTCTGGTATCTTAGGTTGGACGGCAGGCACTGTACATTTTACTGTTGTTGGCTATTTTTGTGTTCCTTTGACAGTCCTTGAGCTTTGTTCTTGGGTGCGTTAAACTACACGGAAACAGTTAATATTTTCACATTTTGCATTTAGGATTTTTTATGTGGATCTGAAGTAGTACTCCATTTAGTGCTAATTATTTTATTTTACTGAAGAGAGACTCTTGTGAACATTTTAGCCAATGTCCCAATAATTATGCATTTTTCCAGTCTTGCTAGTGAGAATATCCACTCTTCTCAGTAATCTTTTCAGATTTTTTTTCATTTTCTCATTTATTTTTCTCACGTGCATGCTCTGTGATCATTACTCAGCTAAGTACGTGGAAGGGCCTCTGTGAGTCTCTTGGTTCTCTCTGCAGAGATCTCTCTTCTCTGGTGACTCCTCACTGGATGCCCGGCCTTTCCCCTTGTGCCTCCACT